ACCGCTCTACGCTCGCCCTGCTCTTATGTATTTGCCTTGAGGCAGATGCTATCAGCAAAACAGGATGTTGTGCTGACGGACGTCTGCTCTCACTCGGAATGGCCCTTCCTGGAGCAAACTCCTGTCTGAGGCACCTGGGAACGGCCTTCTCCCAAGCAAACCACTTCTCTAAGAGGCAAGACAACCAATAAGGCAGATGCAGTGAGCAGGTAGTTTACGTAGTCTCCAGAAAGGCTTCTGGCACTGCTTATTGGTATGGTAAGTTTGCAGTAACTAAATGGGTATCAGCTCGGTGGGGAGTGGGTACCCTCCTGCAGATTAGGGCACTGTCTTGTTTCTCAGCTGGGACACGAGTGGGAATTAGTGCCTAAGGAGCACTGCTTTATCACGGAAATAGATACAGCATGATAAAAAACAAAACACAACCGTTATACCAAAACATACTGCCCACATAAAAGCAACAACAGGCCCTACTAAGACTAGAAGAAGCTCAGCGCAAACGCAGTGATTTTCGGATGCTGGCGGATGAAGTTTTGCCGAGGCAGGCAGGCTCCGGGCGGGAGAGCGGCGCACCATATATCCATAGCGGCCAGGCGCACAGCGCTCGCGGCACGCCCGCGTGTGCACGCTCTCTCACAGGCAAGACGCTTGCCATGACCTGCCCGTGGGTTGTGAGCAAGGTCATGTTGGCATACGTACGTCCAGTCCCCAAAACGCAGCCGTGAGACACCGCAGCGTATTTCCATAGAGCGTGACGTAAAATTTACGCAGGGTGATTTCTCCACCTGGCTCGGCAGCCACCCACGGACTGCAACAGACAGCAAAGATCTACAGCGCTGGGTGGTGCCACCAGAAGGAGAGCTGAAATAACTGAGTTAAGGTAGCAGGAAGTCACTTGCTCCTTCTCTGACAGAGATTTCCTCAAAAGAGCGCGACATGGCTCCTGTCGGTGAGTCTTCAGGAATGACCTAGCTAAGACAAACAGGAATATTTTCCAGCACCACATTATGCTGTCCTTTGCTCAGAGGCACAACTACATGCAAATAATAATTAAGTGAGCAATAGCCAAGGAGTTAACATCACACTCTAAGGGCCACACTCCAGCTTCTAGAAAAGCTTTTAAGATTTGCAAGGACAGGCACAAAGAATGCCCATACTACACCCCAGTGCTTTTAAAAGGCCATCTAGCTTTAAACAAGAGATTTCTTCACTCACCTTAGTAAGAAATACTTCTAGCTGATGAGATGGGGAACAACCCCTAGCACTCATTTACAGAGGTTATTGCAATCGCTCTTCCTACTCTTCTCAGCATCTGCTTATTGTAAACAGGCGATGAGATTCCCTTTCAGATCTTCCTGTTGCAGCGATGACGTTTCAGGCATCGCTAGAAAGAGAAAATGCAGATTAAAAAAAAATTGCTTTCCGAAGTGTTTAAGATGGCATGGGTGTATCCTTTCAGCCTTAGGCCTAGCTACTCCTAATAGCAATTCACACTTACCTGGAATGATTTATGCTGCAGACATCTAGTGATTTTTTCTTGCTCACTCCTAGAGAAAACTAGCCCATCTTGTGGGCTACTTGAGAGCAGCAACACACCTCAGAGGGAGAAACTACCTTCATGACTCAAGGTTGAGTTTCTATTTTAAAGCCACGTTACTCGATTAAAACCTAGACCGCCTCATCCCAGTTGCCAAAGCATTTGTTTCTGCAGATGAGTAACCTGTTCCCCACATGCAAATTCTCCACATTCTGCTTCCTGGAGCTGCTGGGAAGGGTGGTTGCAGCAAACGCAAAACATCTCTGCAAACCATTCAAATAGAGAAAGGAAAGCCAGCGTGACCCCCGCAACGACAGCGTACGTTGCCTCCTCTTCCCTGGGAGACGAGGACTGGCTGCCAGGCAATGCTCCTGTGACCACACTCCGCACGTGACGTCACAAGTTATACAAACTGGGCACTGTCTTCATTGCCAAGTACGAAGCCATACAACTGCCAAGCAGCTGCTGGTGGTCACGTCTCAAAGGCGGCTCTCCTGTACCATATCCACCACACGTATTGTGCTACGCAACGCACTGCAGTACCCCACGTGGAAAACAGACTTGGAAAAACCTCTTAATGCCTGATGAAACCCCATAACAGAGCTGTGATGCAGATCTGGCCAGGTTCCTGTTAGGAAAAACAGCCCCTCGACTTGGAATCAGTAGCTGCTGGGAGTCCCTGTCTTAACACCTCCCTTGGCTCGCTCCGCTCTCAGCAGGGCCTGGACGGGGGGGAGTTTCGCAGCAGGATCTCCAGGCTTGTCAAGGCTGGAAGGGAGCAGGAAGGAGAGACGAGCTCTGTAGCAAACTCAGCGTAAAGAGGCAGAACTGAAAAAACCGCCAGAAAGACAGCAAACAGGATGCTAGGTCTCAGCCTTGTATTGGGAAGCCAGCGCACTCAGTTTCTGAAAGTGCAGGTTGCACACCAGTCTTCTGCTACGGCCTTATTTCCCTCAATGGACAGATATTTAGAGGAGGTTTCCTGGCTTACATGGGTTTTCGGGGAAGAGCTGTCTGATCAGATGTTTATGAACCATCCCGCTCTAACGATACGCTAGTGGCTTAATCTTTTTCTTGCTTTGCTTATTGAAAGCAAGACACCCTGAACAAACATACAGACACATACATGTGTGTATATACACACAGAATTTATGAACATGTGCTTCTCAGGATCCCTGCCTCACATAAATAACAAAAAGTGTTACAGTAAAAGACTAGTGTGTAAAAAGCAAGATTTGTTGGTGTTGTCTGGCATAGGTTACAAGCCTGGATGGATTAGACAGAAGTTTTACCATACGGTAGCGTAAATCATCAGCATATGGCTTATAATGGGTCACATTAAACCGCGCTGTGCCAGACATGCGTTCACCAGAGGAGCAGACCACTGGACAACATCTAGGGTCCCACACGCATCCAGAACTTTTAACTAATCACTATCTCTCTCTTTATTTAGGACCACTTCCAAAACCTTATACCCAAATACCCAGTATCTAGTCTATAAAATGGGTGATGCTGGTAAAAGCAAGGAGAGCTGATACTGATTCATTAGGCTAATTTTATTTACTCTTGGTCTAAAGCAAGGCACCTTGAGTTTGAGGCCAGGCATACATAACTGACTTCCTACAGGTAGGGAAGTTCTTGTACTAGATGAGTTCTGGCCCTCTGTAGAAGTCCTGAGAGTCAGGTCCAACAAGGGAAATGAAAACAGCACGATGCTGGAAAGGAAGGGAAAAGGTTCAGTATTCTCCTACTCCATCCACTTCCCTTTAACCATCAGTTTCCCACATCCCTGAAAAGGCTAGTTTAGGTGGCGTGCTCTTCTGGCTGTGCCTTCCCATGTGAAGCTTTCCTCTGGTAAAGAGGCAGCAGGAAAAAAATCTCATCTTCTAAGCAAAGTAACAAGGCAAGAATAGTCAGTCTGTCACCAGAGAGAGGAAGGAAAGAAGAAGAAAAAACAAAAAAACCAACCGCCTGGAAGCACAGCTCTTCAGAAAAGGAGCCGGTAGGATTCTTCAATAAAGTCTCAGAACCGTTTCAAGCAAATTAACAAATTCTGTACCATTAGTAATATCAGATTAAAAACTAAAACAAAAACACCTAACACCTCCCCCCACCCCCACTATGAATTGAGATCACTTCCACCAAAGGAATTAGAAAGCGGAATGGGACATTTTTATGCTCTGAAGAACTAGTTCCATCCTCTGCCCAACTGGTCAGACTTAGTCAAATATTTACTAGCAGCATGAGAGAGGCAGATACTGAAAGGGAAAAAAAAAAAAAAAAAAAGCCTAAGCCTGGTTTCAGCAATATTCTGCCTAGGGATCAGCACTAGCACAGCTCGTTTCACATCTCAACAAGCTGGGCCAGACGAACGAGTGGATTGAGACAGGACTTCTTGGAGAACGCCAGAAAGCCCATGGCTTCTAGTGAAACCCTTTTCAGTTTTCTTTTATTTCAAAAGGAAGGATTTAATTAGGGAAACACGACACCTACAAAAAGGCAGGGCAGAGCCAGAAGCAAAGAACACCCGTCACCTAGACCTAGCTTAACGACATTTCTTCTGCGCCCTTGATGAATTAAGGCCAGCTGCATAAAAGGCTCTCCCTCTCCCAGTCATAAAAGGGGAAAAATTTTGACCTTATTAGATGAGCTTGTGACGATTAGGCAGCATTAGCAAAATACTTTGAAGATGAGCAGTGCTGATTACATAAGGCCTAATTAGAACCTGTTGATTTCTCCTTCTCAAAAGGTTACAGCAAAGCATTGCTAATTAGCGATATAAGCCCAGCAAGCACGGGTGCGGACATCAAGTCGCTCTCCAGCGCCTTCCTGCCCAGTTGTACCAAGCCCTGGGTAGCACAGCAGCCTGCAACACCCGCACAAAGTAGCGGTATGAGTTCTTTAGCTACAAAGGTGCAAGACTGCATGCTTCTTTTAAAAGGTGAAAACAGAAAATACGTGTCACGACACAGGGCTACCCTTTTCATTTTAGTATTACAGCAGTGCAGGAGGCGCTTCCTTCCAGGGAGTAAGTTTGGATGTAGGAACTTCTCTATTCAGAGAAGCTAGAAAATGGAAAGTCTGAAGTTTCCTCCATTTCCTCCAGGGCTGCAAGAACTTCCTAAGCACAAGCCCAGTTTTAGTCCACGCTGCTGTGCCCTTGGTTGAGGAACAACGTATGTCTGCTTGCTCCAAACACTACGATAACACTACTGCAGACACATGGGAGCAGTAAACCCACTTCTACAGCTTGCTACTTTTCGAGGGAACTAAGTATATTTGCCCATCGCCTACCACGCAAAGTGTCTTTACTGAAGACGGGAGGAAAGGTTAGGCATGAGGCTCAAGAGCCAAACGTGGCTGCCTTCACACCATCCCCATCGCAGGGTTTATCAGCGGGGATAAAGTTCCCTATGCACAGAAGCAACAGGGACAGGAGAAAGAATAATCACATACCGGCTTCCTGCCTGTGATGCCCCCTCCAGGTGCAGAATTACACCTGCCCCACAGGTTTCGTGGTTCTCAGCAGACTAAAGGCTGAAGACGACCCTCAAAGAATCTCGAGCTCAGCATACTGAAAGCCTTCTCAGTATTCATGCAAAGCAAGGAGTTGGATTAGAGTGCAAGTAATGCAGGATTTTCTCTCCTTTCCTCTGCAAGTTTTATCCTTTCCAGAAGAGTGCTGTACAATTGCAGAAGTTTTCAATCCAGTCAAGCTAATGCTTAAAGAAAGTAACATAGGCTGACGAACGTGATACTTCCAACTACTACAGGAAAAGAATGCCAGACCAGTTCATACTTCAGAGTACCAAGTGTGGGAAGTCTTAGAAGTTCTCTTCGCAAATAACCCAGAGAACGTGCATTTGGCTTCAAGTTTTCTCCCCAAAGCTTCACTCCCTGAAAACTACACTTAATTATCCCACAACTATTGGGTTGTGCATTTCTTCTTTCCTCCCCTATAAAGCCTTAGCAGCCAGTACTTTTCCAGTATCAATGCAGTGGCTTTTTCAGGCTTTAGAGAGATCATCAGTTCTCATGCAGCCATTATTCTACACCCAAGAAATCCCGAAACCAAACCGAAATACTCCAAAACCAACAAACAAAAAAATCCACCAAACCAGTAAACGTGGCTGCTCGAGTCTCCTGGTACTCTGTAACTCCTAGTCTTTGATGACTATTTTCAAGATACAGAAGTTAGACGCTAAAGTTGCCCACTTCTAGATGCATGTCTACAGTCATGAGAATTCATAACTCTACTGATGTTTTGTTCGTGGTGCAATGCCAAAGTCTCTGGTCATGCAACACTTCATCTATCACCCAATGAGAGGTAACAAAGGATGCTACAAAACAGATACGTACTGTCCGGAGTTCCACTGAAGATCATCATCTGAATCTTCATCATCAGCCAAACTATGCTTATTCCAGCGTTGCAGGCTCTCATGAAAGAAACCCACGCCCAGCTCAGGATCCGTCTGATTCTGAAATCAAGACGCATGTTTTCTCGGAATGATCCCTGTGACTTTGCTGCACTTCAGTGATCTCTCATGTATGAGAATCATCCATCTCTAGAAGCTGTATTTGGCACAAATTATGAAAATTCAGGGAACAGAAACCAGCTTTCAAAAAACACTTGGTCCATAGCTTAATTGCAAAGAAAGAATAACTTTTTGCCAGGAAGCCAGGTGAACAATCAAAGTAACCAATCTCATGGTAACCAAAGAAAATAGTAAGTTGCTCTACCTGCGAATTGTTAACCAAGGGTTTTAAATAGTTTACCCAGTAATATGAGGGAATCCCTGTACAGTAAATGAAGAGATGAGACACGCTGAACTTGTATCTTTTACACTTGTATCACTGCCTGAAATGCAAAGATAGGTCTGGTTGCAAAAACATTACAAGCTTCTATTCCATTTTATTCCTGCCAGAAATCAAAAGTCTTCAATGGGAACAGAAATGCACGAGAAACACACCTTCATTTAATACAGCATTTTCCTATTTCATTATTGTATTCGATTAAAAAAAAAAAAAAAACTTGACCTGCTTTTTTTTTTTTAAACAAACTTGCAGTAGTTTGTTTTCAGGCTTAAGAGATTCAGGATGGTTAAATTTCAAATCCAAAACCCAAGTAAAAACTTGCTACTGGTTAAGTAAAGCTGGCTGAAGCTGCACTGGAACCCTGAAATTCGCAAAGGCCAGGCCATCATGGGGACTACCACTCACCTCAATCAGTGACATTTGGATGTAAAAGCAGTATAGAAATACATGATAAATAACCCACATCAATTTTGTCAAGACATGCAATTTATTTTAAATGGCATTTTTGTTTTTTAAGCAAGTCCAAGTTTGTGAGCTGAATAAATCCACTCAATCTTGAAAGTGTTCCTAGTTACAAGTCCACAGGAACGATTTGTAGCGCAGGTGTATATTAACCACTTACTTGTGAAAGATTTGTGCAACCTTCAGTCCATGACTCTTCCGGTCACAGGAAGGAAAAGAGAGTGCAGGTTGTTCGACATGCAACCCAAGTATTTCCCTCCAAATTAGACAAAGGTGTTACTTGTGCCTCATTTCCATCAACTGCCACAAAGAACAGCTGAGCTATTTAGCCAGCCTGGAGTTTTAAGTAGCAAAAATAGTTTGTATCACTAGGAAAAGTCAAAGAATTCATCAGCCTCAAGGATCTCGCACCTCCTCTTACGGTGAGTAGCTGAACATTTTTCACAAAAACAACTTAACATGAGGTAATTAACAAAAAAAAATTATCAACAGAACTTTAAGGTTTGCAGCTATTTTATTTACAAGTATACATTTAACACAAAGAAACACTGATATCCAAGCCTAGTTAATAGTAGTGTAACAATATGCATCATTTTGATGATTCTAACCAACAAACTACACTGAAAAAATTAATGCCAGTAAAATTCTTGGTCATAATATTAAGAAATACAATATATAAATTGAAAATATGATTGCTTAAAATTTGAAAATGGAAGTGAAGCCATTTGCACAGGAGTCAGAGTTTAACATAATCTGAAGGGAAAGGCTCCAAACCAACTGTTTATCTTTCAGGTTAACAGAAGGAAAAAAAAAAAGAAAAAAAGAAAAAAAAGAAGCATAGTTTATCCTTAAAGATAATGGGCAGTTTTGCTTCTTCAGGTAGAATGTATTCCCAGTGTTTTCGTGTTTTGCAGTGGAATTACATTACTGAGCATGAAGACTTCCCTTGTGAAGCTGCCCCATCGATTTTTTCTGCCTCCAAAATTATCCTCTTAAAAACATCAACGGCAGTCTGCAAAGAGAGGGTACAAGATTAGTGGGTAGGAAGAAACTCCTACTTACTAGAAAAAAAAAAATCTCAGCGCAATTTCACCGGCTACACCAACAGATAAATGTATGTTCAAGTCTTATTCCAAAGTCAAAAAGCTGAGAGGAAAAACATGGCAATTTCAGTTTTGAATACAGCAGCCTTTTGGAAGGAGAGTGTAATCCCCTTCTCCACAGCAATCCTCAACTATTTTCTCTGTTGCTGCAGGGAGGAATAAGTTTCAACTGAGATGCATCAAAACAGAGCTAATTATTATAATTCTGCTTTACATTTTAAGTGTTTTAGATAGAAAGGTTGTGCTGAGTGACTGACAGCATTGAAGATTTCAATGTTTTGCTTCTCCAGAAAATAAACCAATTCATTTTCTCCAAGCAAGCTTTAAGACTCCATGTAACTACAGAAGAAAAGGCAGATTTTTCAGCTTTAAGCACTGACTTCACACAGCCCAGCATAGGAGGGTTACAGTAACATACTTGATCTGCAAAGAGCCAAGTCTCCCATATACTGCCACGCTCCCGTCTTACCTATAGGTGACTCCAGTATTTGACTTGGTACAAGAACACGAGAGGAAACATAAGTCAAACCAAGGCAATGATCTAACATTAAGTAACAGCCTTTAATAAAGTCACTCTAACAGCATAGGTGTTTTATTCTGTATCTGAAACGGCTTGAATTATAAAATAGCTGTTATTACCGTGTTCAGGCTTACATCAATATCCTAGCTTACTGTTTTTCATGGAACATAAAGGCTTGTAGAGAATCCCTCTGCAAAATCATGAATCATGCATACACTGTCCCTTTATTCCTTCAGAAACAAGACAGCAGCTACTCTTGAAGTGAACGACACGAGTCACCTGTCCTGCTAACATTTCCATTTGGTCTACGTCAAGTCTTCTCCCTTCATATTTAAAATAAAGCAGTCTAGTAGAAAAGGTTCTCCAATAAGGAAATTTCAGCTCATGAAACTGAGCATATGGGCTCAGAAGGGTAACACCTCCCTAAATACGAGATTGCTGGTGAGCGCAAGTTAACGTTTTTGCATATAAAGCTATAATTTCTCATGAAAATAAAATTTTACTGAAGCAGACTTACTAAGAAAGGATGCAAGACACTTGAATTTGATTCAGCAGATATTATGGAAGAGGCTGATTAACCTAACTTGTTTTGCTTTGTATTGTTTTTTAAGATACTGGAAGAGGATGAGAATAGGGCCCTTGGGACAAAATCATGAGTGCTACTTGTAACAAAGAACATAGACTACAAATCTATTCTTTTTTTTTTTTAGGAAATGCTCAGTTTTAAAGGGCTTTTAAGGCTACTAGCCTCCATCAAGATATTCAAAGGTCAAAAGAGGCAACATCCCTATGAGAGCTCCTGAAAGTAATTTTAAAAGGAAGCCTATACTACAGCCAAATATAATGCTGAAGTGCTTGTCTATATTTTGGCATTTCCAAATTAAAGATTCACATACTAAGTACTGCATGATTGGTGATGGTCCCCTAACATGTCATTTGCAGTTTATCTAATTCTAGCCATCAGTTTCCACAAATACCAAGCACACACACTATTTTAAAAAGGGAAGCACATTGACTATGTAAAAGCAATCAACATTATGAGGAAAGGATAAAAAAGTTGGGGTTTTTTTTGTTTGTTTTTAATCAGTATGCTGAAGAGCACCCTGTGATTTATCACCACATGTTTTGACCCAGCAGATGTCTTTCCTCCTCCACAAGGTATAACTCTTAATTGGATCACTTCCAAATTAATCCCGTTGACTAAACTAGTCCCACAAAATCTTAAAGTAATCCCAATAAGATCAGACTGAATTTTAGCATTTCCCGTACTTACGCCACCATGTGCACAGCATTACCTCAGAAATTATTTAAAATATCTAACCAGTTGGAAACAGAGTATTGCTCCATATAATGAAGTTTCCCTGCAGTTTAAACAGAATCTGACAGAAGGGGCTCAGTAGCCTCGAACTCTACAACGCATTTCCAGCGCAAACCGGATCCTAGGAGAAGCACGGACAGGACCGCAGCTGCTATCAAACTGGTTCAACTAGTGAAGTTTCCTTTGGTGAAAACGTACTGACTTACAAATACACTGCACCAATGTTTCATTACTTAGAGTTGACATTTTCAATAGCTTCATTTTAATGCATAAAATTCTTAATACCCCTTTTTAAAAACACCTATTACAAACACAACTTACTCTGCCAAGCAAGAAGCTGTACGTTCTGTCAGAAATGCACTGTTTGACCAACTCACTTAGATGGAGTAGGCTACAGGGCACGTTAATCCAGTTCAAACAAAACACGTTTTCACTGTGCAGTTTTCATCGCTTTGCTTCAGCTAACCCATAGGAATCCCTAACTCAGCCCAGCAATGCTGAAGAATGTTAGAAATTGCTTTTAAACAACATAGTAAGGTTTATATGTTTTGTGGCAAAGAACGTAGCCAGACTTTATACACATCTGACTCCATATGGTCCAATTACAAAATGTGGGTCATATCTAGCCTACTAAATGCTTCCATCTGGCTTTCTGCTACCTTTTCCCTTGAGGAAACAGAAGAGATGCTAGCTTGGGCAAAGCATGCCGCCTAAAGAACGGAGCACCTTGCTGTCTGCAGGAGACACCAGAGGCTGAACTGCTCCTGAACACGTGCCCCCTGGTACGAAAGGAACAGATAGCTTCGGAGGTGCAATTCTTTCCATACTAGCGTGCGGCCAGGAACACGTTGCCAGCAGCCAATGCGAGTAAATTCTCAACTGCTCACAGAAGTTGATTTTGGCTCAGGACTGGGCAAAGGAACTTGAACAATAGTAAAGTAAGGAGGAGATTTTTTCCCATCCTTTGCCAGTCCAAATACAGTGTCCTAAATAAAAACATTTCAGACCCCTGGAACAGGGCTAAAAATCCCAAACCGCTCTATAGCATACACTGAACACTGCATCTTCTGAGCTTGAAGATGAATTCACTCTCGGAAAAGAGGCAAATTCAGGTTCTAGCTGCATTTCAAATCATTCCCACTTTTTTTTTTCCTGGGATTAAGAGGAAAAGGAAGTACTATACTATGGCTTAGATGAAACAAGGTTTGGAGTTCCACAATAAAGCCTCTAAGCTCCTAAACTTGGCCAGGTAGATACAAAGCAGTTCAGCGTATTCGCTTATAATTAAGTAGCTTGAGAGGAAACAGGACAAGATCATTCAGAGTCCAATGATGATGGGCTAATTTAATTTCTGACCTTAGCTTCCAGGGCCTAATAGGGCATGATGCCATGTACCTCATATTTTGCTTGCAAGATCCTCGATGCTCTTAAACACACTTTCAAACCTAAAGATGAGTTTCATAGCAAAGTCTGCCAAAAAAGATGCAGAATTTAAATCTTGTAAGTAGTGTTTACCCAATCAGGTTAATGTTTTCTAGTCCAGCAGTAATCCAAAAGATGTCTTTTGCACTAAGTCACAGAACCGCCTTCTCAAAGCCTAGCAATTTGCCTAGATGACTGATATGCAGGCTCCTCTGAAAGTCATAGCAGGTCACCTGATTCTGGAAGGACTGACACAGAGCCTCAGATATATTTGACCTGGGAAACCCTTGCCAATCACTAACGTTTAGCTTCACCGCAACTTTGATCTTTGTGCCTCTCACTTTCCATGTATTCAAAGTGACCACCATGCCGTTTCCAGAACGTGGCATCTTTTGATAACTCCTGGCAGAATAGGTCTACTTTGCTTAAATTAATCTGCAGAGCTATTCCAGTTGCCTGATGTTGTAGCAATATTGTCCTGTGACTCCACAGATGCTCTGATCGAGATTTTTTGGCAAAAGCAGAAAGAGGTAGGAGTCAATGTTTCCCCATCCCCCCTTTCAGGGCAAGAGCAGCCTATTTTGTGGGGAACATACAACAGGAAATACCTTCTCTAGTTTCAGCAGTTCCTTGCAAGCAGAGCTGCTGTAAAGAACAGAATGTATATAGCCAAACTTGAATCAGCTGACCTCTGGAGCAAGAACTCCTCTCTGCTGAAGAGCACATACCAAACCGATTTCAGACCACTGTACTTTTTTTCCCCCCTGTCCCCCAAATAGAGATGAAGAGACTCTGGAGGAAAACATTTAACCGAGTTCTTCCCCACCCAGAAAGGCTTGAGCTTTCTGCCTAAGTTCTTAAGCTCGAAATTCCAAATCCAGTCCAGCTCATCCCTTTAAGCATTAAGTTAGCTTTCTGAAAAGCGAGATAACTCTGAACCACAGTTTTGGAAGGAGTTTAGACTTAGTTCTGAGAGACAAGTTACATTTTTTGTACCAAGCCCAGTCAGGGGAAGATCTGGATGAACCTCCAAGAAACAAAAAGTGTCTGCAGACTTCTTTCCTTGAGAATACTGACTTACATAAGGTGAACAATCAATACCAGGAGAATTGAAAAGCCTGGTGACTAAGTTGAAAATAGACACTTCGTTCCCCAAACCAGAGACAGTTCCAGAGTATGAGAACACATACTGTCCTGATAGAGGTCTATATATCAGCTCTTTTGATCCTATCAGATTAGGGTTTGGGGGAAACAAGCTAGGAATTCAGAGGTGCTTTTGATAATAACTCATAAGAAGGGATACTATCATCTGGCTACCTGCCTGTTGCCTCCTCTTCCCCCCAGCACTTCAGTTCTCCTAGACTTTAATACTGAGCTTTCAAACCACAATTTTTCACCTTCCTCGGAATAAGCGCTCCTCAGCAACTGTTTGCTAAAAGGCTAGGGCAGGTGCTCCAGTTTTGAACTCCTCCACGCTTTCTTCTGTACATCCCGAACCTCCACAGGAAGCATACCAGATGGCCTGAAAGACGCTCAGTATTGTGGGCCCCCATCTCAGAAGCAACACATCATCGCTCTACATTCTGAAGCCAGCCAAATTTACCAAGCACATTATGTAAGAGGCACAACCTTAGCACCATACTTTCCACTCACGGCAAGAAGGAAACGTATTCAAGTACCCGCTTCTGTCTCCAGAGAGACCAAATCTACACTTTCAACAACTTGCATTACCCAGTGATCACCCTTACAGAAGATCTGATAAGAACAACTTTGACAGCAAGAATTAACAAAACTTCTGATTTTTCTTGGGATTTGTACAGGACTGTACAGAGCTTTCACTATCTGACATATAGTTACTGTTCCTATTTTCATGAAGACGACGAATTTTACTGTACAAGTTTCAGCTGGCAGCATAACTTAACACAGACAATCTGAGGCATGCAATCCATTCCATAGACTAAGGAACAAACACAAATACATGGCAGTCAATGGGACTTTGTTAGGGCAGCAATTTAATATGCAAGACATGTCAAGCATCATATAAAGCTTGTAGCTTTCTTGCATAAATATACCCAGCTTTTTTTTTTTTTTTTTTTTGAGACGGGACCATGTAATGCAAAGTCTTTCAAACTGAGGTCTGTGGTATATCCATCAGAGTGGCGCTGATGATGATTAGGAGGAAAACGATCATAGGATCTTCTGGCAGGG